ATTTTTGCATTATTAAATTTTTAATAAAATGTACTGCAGTACTGTAATATTTAATAGTGCCGTAATGCATTGATCGCGTTGATCACGTGATAAGGGTGCACCACGGTGCAGGTGCACCAAAAAATAAAACTCTAAAAAAAATTAATTTTTTAAAAATTAAGCAGGCAAATTTGTTTGCTAGACAGATTAAGGGATAATAGTTTGACAATTAGTTAGAATTCTTTTTACATATAGTAATTTACAAATACTGCTTGAAATAAGTTAGATATAATGCATAATATATCTTATAGGTAAAATAGTTAAATATTTTGCTACAACTTGTTGCTTGGCTACCATTATTGCTAATTTAGTATTAGTAGTTATTGTTACAAATTTTTCTAAACCAACCTTTGTTAATACTTCTATAATTTTTCAGCATTAAACTTTGCTATATATGAGAATTTTGAAAAATCCTATAAAACATAGATGTATTGTTTTCTTTTATTTTTTTTTTCAGTAGTAAGATGACCTCTTTGGTCATGGGGACTCTTTATTAGTAATCATTTACTATTACAGTTACAATGAAGATACAACTAGCCATACGTACACCTTTTGAGTATTTATTTAAGTAGTTCGTACTTAGGTTCTATACTAGATGCCATATCTATAACCTAACTAGGGAGTTACCTATTTAAACCTTCTAATCCTTACTATTTTTAGCATATCATACTAACCCAGGAACTATTATCTGGCCCATTCTACTAGATTGCACACTCTGCCTTAGGACTTCTATAACTTATTCTGTGTTTGCACCAACTAATTGCTGGCTTGGATTCATTTGTTGAGCGGATACATGGCTATCCTTAAGATAAACCTACTGAAGCTTTCTGTATCCCGTATTTGGCTGACCCAGTCATCACAGTTGCTAAGGCTCCCACTCACAGTTTAGTATAATCTAATTGAATTGCTATGCTCTTGTAAGGTTCATTTCAATTCTAGTACTCATATTCAGTTTTTCTTTTTTCTGTCCTTGCCTTATTAGTCTCTCTTTTACAACAACCTATAACCTAGAAGATTTGACTCTGGCTAGGCTCTAAATATCTTGTATCCCATTTCATTGTAGTATATAATTTTATAGCATATATTCTTTTTCTCCAATTGGGTTTGCCAGTCTCCAGGGATCGCTCAGCCCTTGTCATCAGGTGGAACCTAACTCCCAAATTCTAGTCATGATGAATAACTACCCCAGTTTTCCATGCTGGCTAACTAGGTTAGTGTGCTAGGTTTCTCTCTAATTGGTGGTCAGATTGGTAAATCCTCTCACTTAAGGATCTTGTTGTTATTCAGTTTTGCAATCTTATCTATCAATTCCAAATTTAACCTTCCTGTAGCACTATCAAAAGTATCTACTACCTCCTTACTCAGGTCTTCTAAAACAGGTTTGATCATCCTGGTTTCTTGGTATTTCTGCACTGAAGCTTCTATAACAAGATAGACAACCAAGATTACAGATTGTAGATTCAACTAATCAATTAATAATTGTTATTTAATACAAATCTATTTTTTAAAAAATGTCATCCATGAGATTTGAACTCTACATTTGCTACTTGGTAGAGTGATAACTAGACCACTTCACTAAGCTGCTACACTTTTGCTTTTTTTTATTTGTTACTATAACAAAAGCATATATGCTATATTTTAATAGGCTACACCAATTATCGATACATAAAGTAAGATTTTTAGCTTTAGAAGTTCTTTTTTTATTTTTAGTATAATATTTGATGTCTCTGTATCTAAAATTGATGATGCTAATATATTGTGCTTAGATAAATTATATCCTGAGTTTAATATTTTTGTATAATATTTAAAATATGGATTATTAAAAGCTAAAAATAAAATGCTCAAACTCACAATCTATTTAATTAATAATTTATTGGCTCTTGCTTCTTTAGCTTTATTCGATAGCTTCAATCTTATCATAATAAGTATCTAGAGACAATAATAAATAATCAGATTTTCTTTTTTTTAAGATGATAGATTTTGATAATTCTGATAGTATGGGATTATCTTCACTCTGAATATCTCTAAGTACTTGAATTCTAATTTCTCTGGGTATGTTTTTTTTACATTTTATTGCAAGGTGAGATTGTATTTCTTGAGCTCTTCCTTGAGCTCATAAAGTAGAACAATACTTGCAGCTTGCATCTTTATACTTTTTTTTTCATTATTGATTATATTATATTCATCTTAGATAGTTGCTAGTGGTTGATCTCTCTTATTTGATAACTGCACTATTATATTAGAATCATCTTTATTAATTAACAAAGAACATTTTCATTAACTAGAGAAGAATTATTCAAAATTCTATCATCTTTAGTGTATTTCATCTTATTGGAATACATATATAGTATATTAAGAAAAGAAAGCAGATATTAGAAAACAGTTTATTTTTTTATTTTTATTTGAAGAAAAAAATAGGCTATTTGTTATAACCAAATTTTAAAAAAAATATTATTTCCTTTAAAAACTAAAACTATATATTTACTGGGTTCAAAATTTTTTTTCTTTTTTTTAAAAAATAAAGCTGAAATAACAGTATTAAATAGTGATAGCAATGTTCTTATTATTACTATAAATGGTTATATTCAAGACTTGTATCTTTTATATTCTACAAATTTAAAGCCTATAATAGGCCTCAGGTCTAATAATCAGTTAAAAAAAAAGAAATTGGCATTCTGTATTTGAAAAAAAAACTAATTTATTGCTCTTTTCAAATTGGTGAGACAAACAAATTCTATAAATCTACAATACATAGTAACATGCAGAATTTATAGAATTTATAGAATTTGTTTGTCTTACTAATTCAAAAAGAGTAACAATGCACATACAGGGCTTAAATTACTATAGTAATTTGCTAGCTATTTACTGTACTAATTCTTATTGTTTAGATATCTTTTTTAATCCAGTCTAGCAAAACAAAATTTAATATATCATTGATTAAGAATGATATATCTAAATGGCTAGCAAATTATTATTGCAGTTAAACCTGATTCCATAGCATGGTACCTGAGTACTATACCTGGAAGTAATCATAGAATTTATATTAATTATTGCTTTTTTCAAATTAGTAATAATCATTTTACAAATCTTATAAATGCTATTGTTTTTACAATAATACTGTAATAGATTCATATGATTTATAAATTTTGTCTTACTAATTTGAAAAGAGTAATAATTAATGTTAATATAGTATATAGATT